TCTATTGATAAAATTATATATTATATATATAGGGTGATCCGAATTCGGAATACAGGACATGATATTTTATGCTAAAAGAAACAATTTTTTCTGTTTGCGTCTAACAAGTAGTTTTTGCAGAAGAGCAGGTTGAAGTTATACGAGTAAACGCAAAAATTATTTATCGAATAATTTTACTACAGGAAAAAGTTGTTTGTTTTAGCACAAAAAACAACTTTTTCCTTTAGCAAAATTGCATCCAATAAATAATTTTTGTGCTTATTTGCTAAAGAAAAAAGTTGTTTGTTTTAGCATGAAGTATCATGTCCTGTATTCCAAATTCGTGAATTTCGGATCACCCAGTATATATATATATATAATATATATATATATACTTTGTATATTCTAGATATATTCTAGATTATTATGTTTTTATTAGCAGTAAATTAATGTTAAAATCTGAAATTTATATATCAGACTGTTTTTTTTTCAGGGCTGGGAAGTAACACGTTATTTGTAATGTCGTTACTGTTTTCGTTTTTTCAATAACGATTATTTACTTTTTCTGTCTGAACAATAACGTCATTACATTTTTACAATAACAGTAATGAATTTAGCTGTTACTTTAATTTCTTACTATTTTTATTATAACTAACTGTTTCATATTATTTTGATAACTATTTCTTGTATAGCACAGATTTTTAAGGGATATTCTGAAGAACATCCTAAGAATGTCTCAACGTTCTGAGAACGTTCGCAGGAACATCTCTGGGATAAAGAGTGCTGTACGGGATTAATAAATCGTATTATTTTTAATTATATATATATATTTAGCAGTATTTTATAATAGAAATTTAAATATTAAAAACTGTTTTGTATACCTTAGGCTGCATTGCGATAGTCAATGCCAATACTGAAAATCTGTAATATATAGTAACGAGTAACGATAACGAGTTACTCTTTACAAAAAGTAACGGTAACGCATTATTTTTATGAAGTAACGTTTTTAACCCCGAATTTTTAACGTTAAACTTACACTCATACTAATACTTATGTCGTCAATTTGCAATCATACACAGTAATATCAGCTTTAGGCGATGCATTTTTCGCGAAAATATAAGGAAATATCGCGAAAGTGCATAGAGTGCAACGACCATCGTTTTCTGCCTCACTCAGCCGCGTCGCCTCTCCGCCCACGAGATTTCTCTAATTGAGCGCGATAAGATCGGAATCTTATTAGCGGCACAGTCGCGACGTAACGAACGTCCGTAAAAAGGAACGGTCGGGGGTCGCGCGCTCACATAAAATCACGACGTAAAATCACAGTTCCGCACCACATTTACATCATAAATGTATATTGTGTCTCGGGTTACGCCTAACGCTATGGGAAACTACTTGACGTAATGTTATCTTCGACAATTGTGAATTAATATCATCGACATCAACATCCTTGTTACTTTCTATCCTGGTGTCTTCCGAGTTCCGAAGCAGATGTTCGTAACCGAGATTGATGCTGGCGTTAAATCACAATTCCTCGAAACGCAACGTGTTGTTCGTTGTGCAATTGAGATGTCAAGGCGCATGTAATATGACTTTATTTGAGGTAGTATCGCACTTGAAAGAAATGTAATTGAGAAATAGCTAATAATGTTAGGCAAATTAATAAAAAAATCCTTTTCAAGCATTTTTCATTTGGAAGATAAAAGATAAGAAGGTTGATAATGGTACACTTTTTAACTGTATACGTTAATAGAAAATTCTAGATCTTTTAGGATTACTATTACAGCTTTTACAATCTCTGAGAAGCAGCAATCATGCGCTTTTCTTGAATGGTCCACCGTTTGTTAAAGAAGATTACGTCACGGTTAAACGGAAAGCGTAGTCACCGCGTGCATTTATTAGAGATACTTATTATATAATCCTGCGTTGGCTATGTCGAATGTTTATAAACGTAACGTGTACATCCCAGTTTATTCCTCTATGCACATGCGACTAATCGAAGAAATCTCTCTTTCCTTTTACGCGCGAACTTCCTAGGCTATTAACTATGATTACCTGGCACGCACGTGTTAGATAACCCGAGATTTGCTCATCGACCGATCGCGTCTCGAGCGTGTAACACTTTTGCGCACTCGCAAGAAGATAAATTTAGTCAAGACTTCACTCGATGTCTGTCAGTCTTGTTGAACGATGTTTGTCAATCTTCACGTTTGTCTAATCGATTACATAGACGATATTGAACGTTCTATGACTAATCGATTTTTGCGACCGTAACAATATTAATAAGGTATGGTTCACCTACAATGAAAGTACCGCTCGTTGCGGCATTTAAACAAAGGCATGTCATCGTCTTCCCCATAATTTCACCAAATTGCATTGGGTGATGCATTTCTCGACGTATACGTAACAAGCAAGCGTGACGGTCTCTCTTGTCTCAGGAGTCGACTTCCTTGGATTTTAAGATTACTCGTGTGGCTCGCGCCAGTCGCTTTCAGTTTCTAGTCTAGTATGCGCGGAAGCGGATCCAGCATGCGGAAACGAGTCCAGGGTGTGGTAAAACGATGCTGCTATCCGATTATACGATATCGGAACGACGAAAGTAAGACGCTGGGGAAAAGAAAGAGTGCCGCGAGAACGAGCCGCGATGACGACGATGACGTTCAATATATCTCTCGTGTGGCTCGTGTATCTCGAGTCGGCTCGGTTTATCCACGTATTAATGAGACACATTATCGTCGGGACGAATCACGCTGCCGCGTAGGATGGATTGTACATAATGGTACATAAGATGTACGTATGTGAAGGAACTTGTATAGTTGAGGTACAGGTCTATAATCGTGGAAGGCAATTAGGCGTCCTGACTGATTACCACAGAGTTATCCTAGTTATACAAGATGTTTCTGAAATAACGCCCACTAATCATACAGTGCTATTCCTAATAAAACACTGAATCGAAAAGTCCTCTATCATTTTGCAGTTTTCGCAATATCTTTTTTTAGTTACTCAATGAGCAAAATGTCTAAAATCGACATGTAAGACAACTTTAAGGTATCTTTAAGAGTTCTTTAAGAAACATTTTTTTTAATATTTCACAGAGAACACTGAAAGATATCTTAAAATTGTTTTATACATCGATTTTATCTGTTTATTCGACAATGTTTAAAAATTAATATTTTGTTAATTATTGCGGAATTAATGGGCGTTATTTAAAAAACATCCTGTATATGTGAGATAAACACACACAGAAAACTATTATTCTATTGTTAAGAAAAATAATTACTCAATTTACTTTCTTTTTTTTTAAGTAACGGTTTTTTTCTTTCATTCTTTAACAAAGAATATTTTCTTGATAATAATCTTAAAATATACTTATTATCAGAGCTCGCTCGCGTATTTAAAAAATATATATTTACAATAAAAAAAAAATAATTATTTAGTCTTAATTATTTTAAATAGCTTCTGACGTATTACTTGTTTAATATATATTTTTTTTTTCTAAATAAGTTTTCGAAACCTATTTTATATTTTCCATATTAAATAAGTTATAACGGTTACTTTATCGAACCTTGCTTATCACAAATTTTAGAAAAATTCATTAATATACTTAATACAAGAATTAATTTTCTTTTAAGAACATTTATAAAACTGATCGAAAGTGATTTTATATAATAAATAAATGTATTTTAATTTAATGCTCTTGATTGAAGTATTAAACTTACTTAGGAACATATTTTCAAAATATATTCTGAAAAAATTTTATGCTTGTGATGAACTTATATGATAAATTTGCGGATACATGAACTTTTGAAAAAAAACTTCTGAAACATAAACAATTATTATGTGTACTGTATGTATTTTTCTATGTGCATGACATACGGGAAAGATGACACAAAATCTGAAAACAAAAGTGAATGCAGTGGCAGCATTATTTGTCTAGAGTATTTTCACGGTAAAGAATGTGAGGAAGTGTCTATTAATTTCAATAATACCGATTTACGTTCGGAGTAAATCTGGTTATATCTCGTATAGGCTAATTAGATTAGTAATCAGGTCATTAAATTGAGAAATGTACAACGTAAGATTGCAGTTAATTTACTGTCATTTATTAATTTATGCGCATTTTCCAGATATCTCGAAGGCAGGAACATGTTTACGATCAATCGATAAAATATATAGTATTGAATGAAATTAAGTGGTAGGCTTAATATTTTACAATTGATAGACTGCTTCTGATGCATATATTAAAAGCATTTATTTGACTACTTTCACGCCAGTTTACATGAGAAATATATGTGCGTGTGTGTGTAACAGAATTAAAAAAAATCATGTATTTCAGAACACGTTACGCATAATTAGAGCATATTCACATGTAAAATAAAAGCATGTAAAATAAAACATCCACAGATCCATAAATTTTGATAACGTCGGACAGATGTCGTAAACGCGTTTGTGCGTAAATAGCGTTTCAAAATCGCGCAACTGTTTGGCAACATGCCCTTTCCGATTTTTATACACTTTCCACCGCGTCCCAGGAATGATCGTCGAACGATCGGTGCAGCCCTGAAAAATCGAACGACGCAATTGGCGGCTTAACAACTTACATTAGTCGTGCCGGGCTGATTCCTTGTGGCGCAATGTGCGCATACGTCGCGCACGATAGCGCGTAATGCGTGTGTCGAAAGTCTACGAGATTAATCTCTTAGGGAGAGAGGCGAGAGGATATTCGTGGATATTTACTGTAATTTTCGCACACTGACATTTACGTTTTACGCTTTCCCCTTCCGTTGACGCGGCCATTCGTTTACTTTAACGATTCCTATATGAGCGACGCTTTTTCTATGCGGTACATATATGCCGCTTGTGGTGAAACAGGTGTACCTTTCTTGGCGCAACTCACGTAATATCAAAGAGTGAAAGTTTCCTCGCAATTCCTCATAATCGCATAACGTGTCCGGCTAATACGTTCCTCTACCGCTTCCTCCCCCAACCCTCCCAACGTTCGAATGTTTCGTAAGCAGTCATTATGTAAAAAAAAATACTTTATTTATTTTTTACATTTACGGGGTGTATAGTACAATTCGAGGATCGGATCACGAAGAATACAATATTTACGCATCGTATTGACTTCTATTAATTAACGATGTGGCAACTTTTGCCGGTCGTTCCTCGATCCTTCGATGATCGATCCATCGAATATCTCCTGGTCTCTTGGGCCGCGAGCCGTCAAACAAAAAAGGGGAAGACGATGAAGCCTTCGTTTCTTCTCATGCGCTTATTTTCTCAGTAGTGTCCGCCGAAATCACCGCCGCCAAAGTCGTGACCGCCAAAGTCGTGACCGCCAAATCCGCCGATATCACCGCCGCCGAAACCACCCTCGTCGTGATGACTCTTAACGACTACGGGATAAGGTTCTTTGACGACTACGGGTACCTTGACCGGGTAGGGCACTGGTTTCGACACTTCGACCGGGACCTTGACTGGTACCTTGACCGGATAGGGTACTTTGATGGGCACCTTTATGGGTACCTTGACCGGGAAGGGCACTGGCTTCTCCACTGGGTAGGGCACGTGCTTCGTGACCTCCACTGGGTAAGGTTTCGGTACGTGGACCGGGTACGGGCGGTCGACAGGTACTTTGACTGGCACCTTTACCGGATAAGGCACATGCTTCGTGACCTCCACCGGATACGGATGCGGCACTGGCACGTGCTTCGTGACCGTAACCGCCTTGATGTGATCAGTAGAGATTATTTCGTGGCCACCACCAAATCCACCTCCGCCTCCGAATCCACCGCCTCCGAATCCACTGCCTAAATCATGGCCGCCGAAACCGCCCCCAAAACCACCGTGATCACCCAGACTTAGCTCCAGTCCACGCTTCGATTTTTCATCCTTGGGCTTAGCGCTAGATTCGGTCTTCTTCGCCTCTTCGGCTACGACCGATAATACTAGGCCGCATAGGAGTATTACCTGTCGAAAGTAAGAAAACGGATGAGCATCTTTGATTTTATAAATTGTTTGATAAGTATTATCGTAAGATTGTGAATTATATGAGATAGGTATATAAGGCTTCTCTCCGTCTCTCTCTTTTATTGTGATTTGTTTTGATAATTTTTTGTGGTATTAATGACTTTTGGGAAAATATTAAAAAAAATTTTTTTAAGTAGATGTTGAAAAATTTTTAAATAAAACGAAATTATTATTAAATAAATTTGGAGTATATATAATTATATTGTATAACTTTACTAAAATTTTTGGAAATATAATTTATGTTTTATCAATGGTTTTGAAAAAAGCGAAGTATCCAAGGAAATGACATTTTAATAATTTCGAGTTTGGTATACGACAAATTCGCAAGTCAAAATTTGCTTTTAAGTCTATTATATAATTATTAAGAGATATAGGCCGCTTGAATGAGAGACTGCGCCTACAACACGTTACAGACTGCTAAGTACGGATCGGGTTTCTACAAGCGATTCGAGCGGCTATCTTGTTGGAGCTACTCACTTTCAGCTTGTCGGTGCTGTTCATGTTGGTCGGCAGTGAGCACACTGGTACCGCCATGGTCTACCCTCGCTTTTATAGGGGACGCAACGGCGTGTCCGCTGGGCAACTCGAGCGTGCCGATGAAATTGTCGGCGGGTAGGAAGTTAACAGGAGGAAAGGAAGACAACGCACTGTGGACGACGTCTCCTTTTCTTCGTCTCCCTTTGTCTTCGCGTCTCTATTTTTTCATTGCTTTTTTTCTTAACCGTCTCGTCGCGTTTTCGAGTCCGTTTAATTCGAAGTAGAAACGCGTTTCTGTAACAAAAATCGAAAAACATCCGTACTATTTGATACGCTTGCGTGAACTTTTCTCAGTGATGGATGAGTAGAAATAATTCATTCATTGATGACAAATTCTCTTAATCATTATCTCAGTTATTTTTATTTTAACGATTACTTTATCTACTACCAAACTTGAAACATTAATCATACGAAATAAAATTTATTATAATCTATTAATGTGTATGATATGTTATCACAGGATATTTTAATATTTTATAAAAAATATATACTTGATACGTAAAATAGTTATTTCATATATTCTTTTATAAGAAAAATAACTTTTTGCGTAATTCTTCATGTTTCAATCAGTATGCATTTTTACTTTGTTAATACGTTTCATAGTTACGCGTTATAAAAATCTTAATTAAAAATCGGATTGATATATTAAAATAAATAAGGGTAAACATTAAATATTACACATAAATTTTTTATTAATGCAATGCTTTTGATCGATGCTTTTTGTGTTTTACGCTTTCGAGAGCTCATAAATATTAAAAGCTTAATTAAACCGAGAAGAGAGAATTGAAATTTTTTGACAACGAAAGTGTTTTTCTTGACTTATTTTTTTTCTTTTTACGGATATATATGAACGCATTGAAACATTTACATTCAGTCTCAACTTGTTCAAACTTAATATACTCGCCTCATTTCCATAGTCATAGCACGCTATGTTCAACGTATTATCTCTTTTCTACAGTTTCGTGTGCCGCGACATTTGTCGCCGAGAAGAAGATAGCTGTCGTCACCAGCCGTGAAATTAGAGAGAATGATTCGAAGATGTTGGTCGCTGTACCGCTTTAATAAGAAGTTGTTGGAACTCGTTAACGCTGTCGGATAAAATACTTGCGTACCGGAAATGGTATTCGCTGCGAAACGTAGAAACTCGGTTTTGCTTGGCGATGGCGGCACGATTTTTGGTTTATCACACGTAGTTCCCGCGGGCACAGTTAATCTCGGAATGACTTTGTATCTCGATCTCGGTTCGAAGGGTATTAGAATACTCGCGTATCCATGGTTTATCAGGGTTATCGGTACGAATAAATTTCCATACATTTGAATTTGGATTTCCATATTTGAATCCGAAAATATTGATTTGACTTCTGGTGGGATAGGGAGTGTTTCGAGAGGCTGAGGGTTCCCTCCCTCTTGATTGACCGTCGATCGAACCACAGCGAAAATCGAGGGTGGGATGTATGCGATAGTTTCCACTTGACCTATACCCGAGGATTAAATCGTTTCGATGAATTTATAGTGATTCACTAGAGACCACAATCTGCTCGCGCTGCTGTTTTCCGACACGATCACGAAATCCGTCAATCGACGATTTTGGGCGCATCAGAAATTTCGGTTTTATCTCTTTCAAGAGTTTTCTCGAATGAAAGTCTCTCGGTAGCAACTTATTGAAAATTAATTAGTACATTTACCACGAATTTTTCGCATTTAAAAGGATCTCTTGGAAGGTATTTATTGCTACGTCGAGTGATAACGAAAAAAATTATGCTATAGAATGTAGACAGTTAATTAGCTGAAACATCGCTTCTGGCTAATCGACAATTGCGCGAGCGTGCATGACGACTAGCTATTAATTTCTGAAGCCGCAAGTCTAATTCATTGAATTCAAAACTAATGACACGCGCTGGTGCCGAGATGGCTAATTTTCTGCGGTCATTTCTACTCTAAACCAGCTATCACTGTATATGTTTTTATCGAACAGCAACGACCGATCTGTACAAATTGATTGAAAGTTACCGATTGCTGCGCTTTAAACTTATTTCAATATATTACATGTTTGCATAATATATGTATAATATAAATTAACGTTGTTTATTCATATTAATAAATTAATTTCACTAATGTCATTATGCGCGTATATATAATATTAAATCAGTAATAATAAAATGTTTGGATAGGATTAATATATAGATTCGACATATTAATATTAAACAACATTTGATTAAAATAATCTTATTACGAAAGGTTCATCTTCACGACAGTTGACGGACGTTTTTGTTCGTCGCGATGCACAGAATGTCCACGTAACGCTATAGTTAATTCTTTCTCAGGTTAAACTTCTCTGTGCACTTATTGTGTCATAAGTGGCTTTGCGCAAAATGTTATTACGTTCTGAATTACATATACGAGCAGCGCGATTTTAATTGCGAAGTTATTTGCTCGAAAGTCTTCCTGCAGCAAGAATAACGTCAGGAAACTGTTGAGCTCGCTGTAGGAATATCAGATTAAATCTATCGTGGTGAAAACTTCAGTCGGTTTTTTTTTTTCGTTCGGACGATTGTAATATCATTACGTATACGGAACTTGGTGAAGTAAGCTGACCGATTATATTTGCCGGATATAATGCAAACGATACGTGCTCATATCGAAGTTGGCGATCCCAGTGCATGATCGTACACTTTCTACCAATCTCCCGATATTTATGAGGCCGCAATTATGTAAATTTTGACAAATCGCACTTCCTCTCCACAAATCTCGTTTAGAAAACTTTTTCACAAAACCACGAAAATCGCTCTTGATCTCATACGTGACGCAAACCGAGCTCATCTGTGCTCGTATGCAGATTAATTCCCTGCACGTGAGCACCTGTGTCTAATGTCAACGTAAATGTCTGCATGTAGTGTACCTTTCCCCTACCAAAGTTCATTAGAATCGCAGAGTCGACGTCATTAATTTAACCAGCGGTATTTTTTCAAGCAGTAGTCTCGTCCACGTAAACGTTAATTGATTTTGCGGGAAGCCATCTCTGAGAATTCTGATGCGAACTTTCAATTGGCGACCCTTATCTCCGCAGAAATTTTTTTTTCTCGAAGTTCGAGTCACTTGAACTTTAAACCACAGAAGAGGGTGGCGACGGTGGCGTATAAATGCGCCCTAAGTGTACCAGTGGATTCTCGCGTGTTACGAGACGACAGTGCGGGCGGATGTCGTCGGTAGTGGGATTTTCGCGTAGTCTGCATTTCTGCTTCACCGACCACAAGCGTAACCTTATGCAATAATGGGAAAGGCTTTGGAGTCGGCCAGACCGCGGCTCTCATGAATATATGGATAGATGTTCTCGCTCAAGGTGTTTATCAAGCCGTTTTCTAGTTACATCCTTCCCACTCCGTGACATTATCGCCCATCGAATACAAACGTAATTTGCACCCTGGAAAGATGAAACGGAATTTTAGTTTTTTCGACAACTTTTTTTTAAGAGTTTAGTTAGATTTTTCTTCGAAGGTGGATATTCTGGGACACGCCTCGCGTGTCTAACGGCGATTGTAGGTTCATAAATTTTTACTTTTGCCTGTATTCGATTTACTTTTTTTTTTTCACTGCACGTGTTACGGTTAATAAACATGTATATTTTACGCATGGTTAATTTTATGAACATTTATCAATCTTTGGGAAATTGCGAATTTTTGCATTTATTCCAATCGTTAAATTATGCGTCGAAAAAGCGTTTACGTATTACTCTTAGAAATAAAAGATAAGACGCAATTTAATCTTTAAAATTACAAGCTGACCATTTAAGAAGAACGCAGGTAACAGCGGCAAAAACTGCTTGCATAAGTTATGGACGTCTATAAATAAAATTATAAGTAGGCTATTTTAAAGATTGTACTGAATATGCTTTATGGGGCAGCCAAAGAAACGAGTCAATAAGAAATTGATAATTGACTCTCTCTTTCACTCGTATATTTTTTTTATTTATCAAACTAGAGTGTGCTAAGAAAAATGTACAGATTGAAGATATAGTATAATCTTAACTTTTTTATAATTACTTCGTTAATGAATTATGATTTAAAAAAGAAGAAATTAAATTTACGTTACAAGCAAACGAAGCGTAATGGAGATATATAAAATGGGCCATGATTTTTAATACTTAAACAGAGGGAAGTGAAGATTACCACATCATATCCCACATCATGTGCAATATAGTTGTTGAATTATCGCGCCCGTTTTAGTCGAGAGAGTTCAACATATCAAATAAAAGTAACTCGGTTAAATGAATTTGTAATGAGACTATTCTCATTAAACGAAATCTGTGACCGATGCATTAAATAATCAATACTACTGTTTACTAAATAATGTAAATGCTCGGCAATGTTGGAACTTTGCGATAGTCTGTGCGAAATGTAAATATTTATTTGATATATCGCGCATATATCTGGCCTATAATTATACGATCAGTATATTGAACAAATATAATTGCATATTCTTTGCGTAGTAATCATTTTTAAATAAAATATCATATGCAAGTGAGACCTTTTGCAAAGATGTCATCAAAACATGTTTACCTAGAATTACATTGGTTCACCTGCCAATAAAATGTCACTTGGGAATGATATGAGTAAAAATTGAGTTTAATGCCAAAGTATCCATGAATCAATTATGAAAGTAGTTTCAATAAAAAGTTACTGCGTCAATGGCTTAAAGCGGTGGTATATGTCTTTATAAGATCTGATAACTGTATATTAAAATCAAAGCATATAGTGTCAAAGAAATGAGAAAAATGTTGCCTTCATTTCGACATCGGGTGATTCAGGTGTTACGTTATTAACGACGCGGTCGATTGCCAGTTTAGACCTTCGATTCCTTTAAAAGTATTGCTAGGTGAACAAAAAATATTACTAAAACTTGGCGAAAGTGATTGAAAAAACAACACGTTGATTGTGCCAGGATGTGTTGAAATGCAAATTTTCACGTCTCTTTCATGGTCACCAACGTGTGTAACGTCG